ATTTAAATTGTACACTTTGAATTTTAAGAAGCAAAAAACTTGATGTACAAAGTTTGTGTTTCCTTAGGAATCAGTTCTGCGATGAGATCTGACCATTTTTAAACTTTAAATTCTAGGAATAAGAAACGGAAAGGGCTTACTCACAGAATCCTCATCGAGGACGATGCAGACAAGAGATGGGTATTGATGCCTACTGGTATGGAACCAGGACTAAATCGTCCTCCGCAAAGTGAAATTCAGGAGGTGGTTGTTGAAATTGGAGAGGAATCAGGCAAACCATCGGGTATGGTATAGTAGTCCTTGAGTAAAATAATGTAATTTCGTGGATTAGAGGACAACAAGACGCCCCCTCTTTAAATTATATATTAACCCTTTCACTTCCAAATGTGACCAAATTTGCGAGTCCTTGAATTTAATAGCGGCATGTGCTGACTCCACTCCGAGTAAATCTATTGAACGTGTGTGTGTATCTCCATCATCGAAGAAGCAAATTTGTTTACTTTGTGCGAAAGTTGACGACTTCAGCCGGAAAAATACAAAAAGGTCTCATAAAGGGCGAAACCCTTAGACTTCTGAGAGCTAACTCCTCAGCTAAATCCTTCTATGAGAACATCTACAACTTCAAAAAGCGCCTTCGCGCTAGAGGTTACCCTCACAATCTCGTAGAAAAAATCACCTCTGAGGTTAACTCTACTGAACGCAAGTCAGGTTTACAAAAGAAAAATGAAGTGCGAAAGAAAATTCTGCCTTCTGTTACCTCTTACCTCCCTGCTTTGCAGAACCTTAAAAACATTTTAACGTGCAAATGGCACTTAATTCAACATCAACCACTACTGAGAGAAATATACAACGAGCCTTCCATCATTTCATATAAAAGAGAAAAATCGCTGGGAGATTCAATGCCCTTAGGACTTGTGAGTGACAGCATTATCCCAAAGGGTCCTTGAGAGCTACTCTGATTGGTCCAAGCGCACCGACCCGTTTTTGGGTCGGTAAAATTGGCGCCAATCAAGTATGAAAAGTCCTTTGACCCGCGCCATATGAAATCCGACGGAGGACTTTTTGAAAGTCTAGCAGAGAGCTTTCATTTGAATGGTCACATCATAGGATTATGTCCGCAGACTCAAAAGTTAGAACCACCTTACAAAACTCCATCAAGTACTCTGGCAGTGAAAGGGTTAATAACATTTTAACAGTAAGCTCGGACGTCAGTGGGGGGGGGGGGGGGGGGGGGACTCCACATATGAAAGAGGTGGGGATGCTCATCGGAAATTTTGAATGAAACCCCTAAAGGAGACCGATCTGGTTGTGGCCCAAGCTTTTTTTGATCCCTAAAAGAGACCATGTTAAAACACAGACAAATGAGAAAACCTGGATTATATGAATGGAGTAAATAAAACCCATTAAAAATATACATATCAAATATATATATTTTTATGTTTTTTTTTCTCGTGCAACCCCAAACGAGACCTTTACGGCTAAATATGATGGCGTTTTGCCCAGAACACCCTAAGTGAGACCAGAATCCGAAATTTATACCCCTAAGCGAGATTACGAGCATCACCACCCATTTCATATGCGGAGTCCCTCCCCAGGGATGCAAGTTTGCATTCCACAAAAGTGAACTAGCTTTTTAAAAAGGAAAAGGGAAAAGTTGTAAAGCGATCAAGCCATTTGCACTTACTAGTTAATTAGTCAATACATACAACAAAGTTTAAAGAGCATTATTTGGTTCTTTTCGTTTTCAGTCGTAGTCGACAGTACGCCCGGCGTAAGACGTCTTTTAACAAGCAACGAAGGAAAGGGAATATGTAAGTAAATAAGTTATAAGTAAATAAGTTATTCATCTTTATTTAAGTTACTTACCATTTTAGTAGATCTTAGTCTACCCTAAATGTATGCATTTCTATTTTTTTATTGTAAAACTCAGTCCACATGTATGATGATTATAAACTTGCTCCCACGAGAAATGAATAAGAAAACGAAAAGAAAGAAAAAAAATTTACTTTTATCAATCGGATTTTACGACACACACGCTAGAACTTGGAAACGTCACCGTAGTTTTCATGTTTTCGTTCATGGCTAAAGACAACGCTAGCCGTAATTAGATTCATTGCAATTGTAACTTAATAATGTATTTCAAAACAAAACAGTGGCATTTCAGTGATCAGAAGTTTTAATTGTCCGAAAAAAATCTTCGTGTTTTAGTCTTTATTTGGTCACAATGGTTATAAAATACAGTTCTCATAGAGTGTAATGTTGAACGATTTCTATACATTTTTTTTTTCAGTGATTGCACTTTGGGTGTTGGCAGGAATATTGACTGCCCTTCTCCTTATGGCTTGTTGCTATTACTGTTGCTGGCATGTATGTTGCGGAAAGTACGTATTGGGAAATGGAAATTATTTCACTTTTTTTTAAGATCATTACTTTAGTTTCGACAATGAATGCAAGGTTCATGAGGACGGAAGAGTTTATTATTATTATTATTATTATTATTATTATTATTATTATTCCACAATAACAAGTTAAAATCTCTTTTTCTCGTCGTCTCGAAAACATCTCACCGTCTTCTTCAATATGGCGACCGCATTAGGTCACACGACTACGCTGGTCATGTGACAGAAGACGACGAATTCGGGCGTGACGTGGACGCCTCAGTTGTGGTTGAGGCACTAGCTTCTTGTCCATGATTTAAATTGTACACTTTGAATTTTAAGAAGCAAAAAACTTGATGTACAAAGTTTGTGTTTCCTTAGGAATCAGTTCTGCGATGAGATCTGACCATTTTTAAACTTTAAATTCTAGGAATAAGAAACGGAAAGGGCTTACTCACAGAATCCTCATCGAGGACGATGCAGACAAGAGATGGGTATTGATGCCTACTGGTATGGAACCAGGACTAAATCGTCCTCCGCAAAGTGAAATTCAGGAGGTGGTTGTTGAAATTGGAGAGGAATCAGGCAAACCATCGGGTATGGTATAGTAGTCCTTGAGTAAAATAATGTAATTTCGTGGATTAGAGGACAACAAGACGCCCCCTCTTTAAATTATATATTAACCCTTTCACTTCCAAATGTGACCAAATTTGCGAGTCCTTGAATTTAATAGCGGCATGTGCTGACTCCACTCCGAGTAAATCTATTGAACGTGTGTGTGTATCTCCATCATCGAAGAAGCAAATTTGTTTACTTTGTGCGAAAGTTGACGACTTCAGCCGGAAAAATACAAAAAGGTCTCATAAAGGGCGAAACCCTTAGACTTCTGAGAGCTAACTCCTCAGCTAAATCCTTCTATGAGAACATCTACAACTTCAAAAAGCGCCTTCGCGCTAGAGGTTACCCTCACAATCTCGTAGAAAAAATCACCTCTGAGGTTAACTCTACTGAACGCAAGTCAGGTTTACAAAAGAAAAATGAAGTGCGAAAGAAAATTCTGCCTTCTGTTACCTCTTACCTCCCTGCTTTGCAGAACCTTAAAAACATTTTAACGTGCAAATGGCACTTAATTCAACATCAACCACTACTGAGAGAAATATACAACGAGCCTTCCATCATTTCATATAAAAGAGAAAAATCGCTGGGAGATTCAATGCCCTTAGGACTTGTGAGTGACAGCATTATCCCAAAGGGTCCTTGAGAGCTACTCTGATTGGTCCAAGCGCACCGACCCGTTTTTGGGTCGGTAAAATTGGCGCCAATCAAGTATGAAAAGTCCTTTGACCCGCGCCATATGAAATCCGACGGAGGACTTTTTGAAAGTCTAGCAGAGAGCTTTCATTTGAATGGTCACATCATAGGATTATGTCCGCAGACTCAAAAGTTAGAACCACCTTACAAAACTCCATCAAGTACTCTGGCAGTGAAAGGGTTAATAACATTTTAACAGTAAGCTCGGACGTCAGCATAAAAGGGCGCCAGTATCATCTCGTCGGTCGGGCCCGGTTCTTTGAAACCACGACCTCCCGCTCGGCAGACCGGTGCTCTCCCAACTGGGCTAACCGGGCGGCGGTAAATAATAATTAAGGATAAAGAAACGATGAAGAGTTGACCGTAACGAGTACCATAAGATTGATTTATGAACTCAACCTTTGCAGGAGTCATTCAATTTGGCGTCGAGGCAGATCAGTCAAAGGAAAATCGTGTGACCGCTGAAACTGTTCATTCCGAACTACCAGTGTATTCGGAAGAAGCTGCTACTGTGGACAGTAATGCCACTACGCTTAAAATGGAACCTGCGGATCCAAGATACGCCAACCTGACGAAAAGAAAGGCCAATAGAACCAAGAGTGATTCAGCAGGTTCATTCAAGACTCGTGGAAAACTTAGCCCAGGATTTCCCAATGGAGGTTTTGACGGGTAAGTAACCATTTTGTTCTACTAGACCCGTTGATTTCACTTGGAGAACTTAGTAAACCTTGTGGCTGGACATAACGTGGTTGAAATCGGCGTTGTAACGATCACACAGAAAAACCCCGAGAACTAAATGGTAGATCGTACGAAATAAAGGGATATTCTTTTATTGCGAGAGGCATGTCGAGTACATTTTTAACACTATCTGCTTGCTATGGTTTAGGGTGGGGAAGCTCGCTTGATTAAAATTTGCTATAAATCTGGCCATTTTAAAGGTGCCTGTACCGCACTCGTTTTATAATACGATCGTCAAGTCAACATACAATGATCAGGTTAAATATCCCAGCCATTCTTGTTCTTCCATTTAACCTTCCACGCCAATGGACCTCCAAGTGAGCCTTTTTTTACTAGCACTCGTTGCAGTAATTTCTTCTCTTTAAATCTTGATTCTTTCTTTTTTTATTCGATCAGGTCATCTGAGTGGTTGTCGGATTCTTTCGATAATGATGGAATGAATCGTGCCAGGAGTTTGGATGACCTCGCCATCGTGGATTATGAAATGTTTGAAGAACGCCGTGGCTCAGATCAAAGCGCAGGCAAAGGTGGAGACGGTTATAGGAGGATGAAAGAAACGAGCAGGGAGTCTGTAAACAAGCACCATGTGGCTATGGAAGAAAAGGTGTTATCTTTTATGTCGAAAAATGGAGACCAGAACATGGAAGTCCTGGAAAGTTGGTTTAACCCTGATGGAGGAGCCGAGGAACCCCGACAGAACAAAGCTAAAAATGAACCAGTCTATTCAGAAGTCGGGGCCCAGATACCCAGGGATGACCCGGTATACTCGGAAGTGGGATCCCAAATACGTAAAGACGAATCCATTTATTCCGAAGTAGGATCTCAGATACCTAAGTAGGGAAAACGTAAGTTCACGCCTTTTGTTTGACCTGGGGCCGGTTTCTCAAAGCCTGGTTAGCGCTAACCGTTGGTTAAGAGGTATCAAAATGCATAGGTTTCCATGGTATTTAACGTTGGTTAGCACTAACCATGCTTCGAGCAACCCGGGCCTGGAAAATACGAACGTTTTGAAGAAAACAACTTAAACAGATATCAGCTGCGTTAATGTAATCCTTCTTAGGATATAAATTAAATCCTTCTTAGGATATAAATTAAACTGCGGGGGAGCCCGGTCATCCAGACCCTAATATAAGGAGGGGGCAGTCTCCCAAACCTTAGTCTAAAAATAAGGGGGGTGGGCCCCCCGGGGCCCCTCCCCTAAATCCGCCACTGTTGCCGATATCCTTTGTCTAGGCACCCAGCGGTGGCGCAGGCTATATCATGTCTTTCAATTGATGAGCACCAACCATTTCAATCTTGGTTCGACGTTATGTCAGGCAAGTTTCTTGGTGATTGCTCGTTAATATTGCTGTTTTGGGTTCTTTTCCCATAGGTATTACCACCGCTGGATACAAGTCAAGGTTTTCTGAACAATTTTGAAAGGAAAGGCCGTCACTAACATGAAGCCTGTTTACATGAACTGTAAAATAAGTTGCATGCGGTATACCTAATACTTATTTTGTTTTATGACTTTTTACGAGCCAAAAGAATAATAGTTAGAAAAAGTCCCATGGTTTACCATTTAACGTAAAGCTTAACTAAGTCAGACAAAGTATGTTGCAAAATCGTGGGAAGGAATTACATCAGGACCCTAGAAGAGAAAGTCTGCTTTCCTTTTTATCTTTTTAAACGACGACATAGGATAGCATAAAATAGTTCCAGCTACAGGTAAATCAAGAGTGATAGGTGTCTTAGTACAAAGACATAGAGAACAATATGTTGTTGTGTTGCTCATTTGCTATTTGGGGTTTTTATGTTTTTTTTTTATTATTATATAGTATTTTTGAAAGTAATCTTGTATGAGAAAAAAGTAATTTTAAAAGTATTTTTTTCCCTTTGATTTCATCTTTTTAGGATTATAACCACCAAATCAAAATGTATGTAGAAGAAATAGAAATATACCAAAATTATGTGAGATATCTCAAAAAAGCCCACGTTCGATGTCTTAAAATTCTAACATGACTCCGAGGCTTTAGGGTCAGAATTGCAAACTTTTCACGACTCCATTGTCTCGCAATTCCCAGAAGAGAATTGAGCACAAAGAAAACCAAACAAAATATAGAAAATGACCAGAAACCCTTGGAGTCATGTCTGAATTTAAATATATCGCACGTGGGCTATTAAATAGTCTCCTACAAGAACCAAAACAGTATGGTTTAACATGACCAAAGGTAGTTGTATAATCCCTTGTACTTGTTGCGAATAATTAAACTTGTAGATACTGAATTAATTACCAGTTAAAAGCAATTTTAATTTAAGGGTTTTTATTCTTATTGAGCGTTTAAACTATAGTGAAATGTAAAAACAATTTGAACGTCAACTTAGTCTTTTTCTTTGCTAGTAAACTACTCTTAACTATTTGTATGTGACAAGACTTATTTTTGGAATTACTCTAGAAGCTTATAAAGGGAATAAAGAATGTTAAACTTTAAGTTTACGTCGTTTTAAGTGTAAACTATATTCGAGTTTAACTGAGTTCGCCAAGCGACTAACAAACAGCCCAAGTGATGCAATGCGTCGTAGCGGAGCCCGCTGGTTACAACAGAACTAAGTCAGTTTGCAGGATATATGTACAGTAGAGCGACAAACGGCGAAAAATATAACTAACTACCGTAAATGTCCGAAAATAAGCCCCTCCATGTATAAGCCCCTCCAAATATAAGCCCCCCAAGCCGGTTACGCAAAAAAACCCTCCGTTAAATCGCCACTCTCGAATATAAGCCCCCCGGGGGCTTGTACTTGGAAAGTTGCCCTTAAGTACAAAGTAAAACAAAGCAAAAACGGTAAATTTACTTTCAACTATAAGGCTAGCCCAATCGATTTTGAAACGCAAATTTCTCTCCGTAGATAAGCCCCTCCGAATATAAGCTCCTCCAAAAATAAGCCCCCGAAAAAGGGCCTTTGAAAAATATATGCCCCGGGGCTTATTTTCGGAATTTTACGGTATGTAACCAGTGAGAGGAGGAAATTAATGATGGAATTGAATTTGGCCTTTAAATCTTTGAATGGTCCACGCAAAAATGCAACTTGCCACAAGCTCAATATTGTGCTATTCGATTCTTCTTAGTTTTCGTTGATCCAAAGTAAAAGGGTTCAATTGTTTGCATTTTGCGACCTCGAACATTTTAAAGATAACCCACATTAACATACGGAGACGACCGACGAAAAGGAGTGTATGACTGGGTATCGTCAACATCGAAATAATTACAACTGAGTGTTTTGATAACAGGCCATTTTTTGTGATTTTGTGGCGTTTATTGAGTCTACAGTTCGATGATTTACGCAAAAATTCTGAAAGCTCTCGCTCTGGTAAGTTTTCGAAACGCCTTTTCTCTTCAGTGACTTACTAGAAGCTCAATTATAGGAATTTTAGAAAGTTCTAGACTGTCTTCTTTTCAGTCTAATATCGAAAGGCATTGTTAACGCAAAGGAAAGAAACTTATGCTGTTGATAAAGACGACTGACCACATGTACTATCACACGCACGTATAGGCGTATGTCGGGATTAAATATAATGATTGTGGGTTTGAGGGTTACGTTTACATTAAATATAATGATGGTGGCTTTAAGGTTAAGTTCACACGGAACTGGACGAATTTTCTACCGGCTGAAAATTCGTGCGTTTAGGATTTCCGTTCACACGGAATAACGAAAACCGTAGAAAAATTTTGACGCATGGCTCGTTAGTTCCCTGTGGACAGAACGAAAATATTGACTGGTTCCGTGTCCGCTCAAATAAAATTTACAGCCAGTCGTCCGGTGTTGTGTAAACTTTAGCCTGCGAATAGCTCCGTCTCTTTTTCGTCTCTAGGGATTTTTCGCTAAAGACTCTCCAGAGAAACGTACCTAGCGGCTAGGAGCGAAGAGAAACGGCTGTATTCGAAGGCTATTTGATCTTAGGAATTAGATTCAACCAGCACTTGAGCTATGTTACAATATAAAATTGGATGCCTCTGTGCAGTGGTGTATGACCCTGATAAATTCTTGCGGAATTTTGGTTTTCGATAAAATGTGCAGATACGCGGATTTCTAATTCATTATACAACACCCGGAAGTTCTTCTTACCCGCGGCTGCAAGGAAGGTATAGGATCCGCCCGCAAGTACAGTCGACTCCCGATAACTCGAACCTTCAAGGAAAATCGAAAAAAGGTGCGAGTTATCGGGAGTTCGAAGAAAATAGCCGAGAGTAAGGTAAAAAAAAAAAAAAACAGTTTTTACTGCACAGGGAGCATTTGAATCACATTTAATTGTAGAAATGTCAAGTGAAAATTAAAAGATACTTCTAGATTATAAATCAGAACGTAACGTAGCAAAACGTAGCCTAAGAGAGCATGTAGAGCATATAGAGCATATAGAGCATGCGTTTTACTGTTTTGAGAAGAACAGCTGCTTCACGTTAGGCTGTGACAAAAAAATCAACATCAGAGTCCACTAGTAAACTATACTCCTTCAACACGTCATTAGGAAACCCAAAATTCAATGTTTCGGACGCCAGTAGACGGCTTTTTTTCCCGACTTTTAAGGGCTCAAAACATGGTTCGAGTTGTCGAGGGTAAAATGATAGAGAAAATGACCTGAGGGCAAACGAAAATTTAGTTCGAGTTAGCGGTAGTTCGAGTTATCGAGGGTTCGAGTTACCGAGGGTAAAATTACAGTGAATGTATGACGGAAATCCAGGGGAAATCGAGTTTGGTTTGAGTTAGCACGAGGTTTCTAGTTGACGAGGGTTCGAGTTATCGGGAGTCGACTGTAATTTTTTCGTATGGAAGGACACAAGATGCGTTATGCGTTAACGCAGATGGGTTATTGCATTGCCACTCCGAACTTCAAATGTATAAGACTGAATTCCAATCGTTATTCACCTGTGATGACCCGACTGATTACCAATAGACAACCAGAGACCCGCGACCAATTTAGTCAAACTCAAATAAGAGCCTAACGAAGCATAATTTTTTTAGTACTACACGCCAATGAACGCGGAAGGCTCAGCAGCCATTGAACTAAAGATGTGTTTTTCGCGGGGAATCTAGGATTGGTGTCTTAAAGTCAGACTGTTTGGACTCGCTTCGACTAAAGAGACGAACAATCCGAAACTGGGGAGTTGAGTGAGAATTGGAGCGAAAGTCTCTCTCTTCTTTAGCTAATTCTCAAGTCATTCTTTGTTATTCACTTTTTCATTTAATTTATAAGTTATTATTTACATTTGTTAGTCTTCTTATTGCACTTGTATCTATTCGTATATAGTATTTACTGGTGAATTCAATAAAATAAATGAAACATGCTTTTCAGTACTACTGATGCCAGCCGGTAAGACGTGCTGGACCTCACATTTTCACAGGAAAACCGCTCATTGGTGTGAGCTTTTGGATTTGTGACCAAAGGAAGCCACAGATCATTGAAACGACGAGTCCCTTTTTTCGGAGTGAAAATTTTAGGATTTTTTCGAATTCCATTTTTCAAGCCTATTTTGAATGAAACAACCAGGCTTATTTGATTTCTTTTCCCCACAAAACGCAACCTTTGATTGCGATTTACAAAGGGCAAATTGCTCGATGACAACAATTTTCAGAATTTCCTGGCACAGAATTTCCGGTGGTAGCTAGTCCCAAAAGAGGAGGGAAAAACATAATATTCCTCAAGACAGTCCTTGTGTTAATGGC